AAGTCTTTTCTCTGTAAAAATTGAATCAACAATTAATAAAGATCACAATTTGAGAAGTGCCTCGCAAAAAAAAAAAACAAATTTAGAAGATATTATTAATTATTAAATATAATAATAAAAAGTTAAAAATTTTATTATAAGTAAAATTTATAATAATAACAGTAAACCTATTATTTAAATTATTATTGTCTCTTTTGTTTGATTTTATAGATTCAAAATTGTATTAATTTTGTATATTCTTAGAAACCTTGATATATTATATTGATTCTTTCAAATAAAGTGTTATGCCGCTACTAGTTTTTTGTTCATTTCTTTTTTCTAAAATAAAAATGATATATAACAATATATTTTTAGTATTTTTAAAATTAAAAAAAAACACATATAATTAAAAATATATAATATTTAAAATCAAAGGAATTTTGATATTTTTGAAATCGATAATATATAAAAAAGTTTTTTTTAATTAACTATTTTTTATATTTTTTTCATTCTTATTAAAAATTTCCATTTCAATTCATTGTAATATTTATAACTTTTTAGTTTATTTTCAAAAACAAACATTTGATAAAAAAATTTTTAACCATAGCATAGTTAATAAATAAATTTTATTTGTTTTATATCTTTAAACAATCCTATTATCATTCTCTTATAATTTTTTGAAACTATTTAGTATTATTTCTAATATTTTTTAAACAAATTTCTACTACTGAAATCAATTAATCAATCGGTGAATATATATTGTATATGAAGTCATAAAAATAACTAGATATTTTAAATAAAAAAAAATCTTTTTTTTTGAAATTAATTTTTGCTATCAAAGAATTTTCAGAAATTGACAAAAGCATAAATGCTAGTTTTTATAAATTATCGGAATTTATGCTGTCTGATGAAATGAATCTAGAGATATTATGAATTTTTTAAAAAATAGTTTAACATATTTTTTTCAAATCTTTTTATTAAATGACATCTTGAATTTACATGTGTGCACTGTATATTAAATTATTTTTTTTTTTAATTCCCAAATATTCAGTAGTATGATTATAATAATAAATCCCAACAAACCGATTTTTTAGAAAAATTATCAAAATCTCGATGATTTTATTTGGATTAATGATTTATACATATTACCACGACGGTATACGATAACATTAAAATATAATGCAAATGTAATTAAGCAAAAGGAAAAATAGACAGTAACTTATTAGGAACAGTAGACGGGGAGTATAATTATTGAGTAAAAGTTTGGCTCAAAGTGTCTATTCATAGCTCACATAGCTCGTTTGCTTTTATCAAGATGATAAAGTAAATTGCGCCAGGCATTCTATGTAATTAAAATACAATGTCAAGTTAATAAACAAAAGGATGCAACGGAATAACAAAATAAATTAATGATTTCAAAATACGAATCAAGTTACCATAAATTTATCTCTTTATTAATGGATTCTATCAGAGATTTGTCATAAGAGAATAGCGAGTCAGTCAATGCGATCGGAGGATCCAATGTTAAATGTATGGGATAAGTGAATGAGAAGCGATTGTTTTCCATGTATTCTTGATTTAGTGGAGGAATTGGTGTGAAGAAGGACGGCGAATAACTTATAATGGTTTTATTGTCGGAGTACTCATAATTACATTTCAAGTTTCGTGATGATCTAAATATATGGTTTGACCACAGGATGTCATGAAATTTATGATTGCAGGATAAAAGTTGTTGATACATGCGTTTATCTTCCGGAGTAGCATTCTTCCAAAGGAGTTTTACGTTTCGAGAAGCATCCCGACAATTTTCTTTGGTGTTATATTTTCTGACGGCCAAACGAGCTTGATAATCTTTTCGAAAGATTACGAAACCATTTTGATAATAAGGAAAATCCGACACACGCTTCGGGCTATTACTGAAAAAAATGAGATCGTGAAGGGGTAGGAAAAGTTTAGACTCATACACAGCACGTTCTTCGCTAGATATAATTGCGTTTATTATACAATCAAAGGTCTTTTTGGTGATCGTGAATTCACCCGAATTGGTGGACATCGGACGGGGTAAACTGCTTGCGCTTAGGATAGGAGATGGTTGACAAGCAGGAGAAGATGAAGTATCGAGTGTTTCACGTCGATTCAAAGTCTGTGAGTATGAGTTATGATAATAATGGCGAAGGCTCATTTTTGTGATTTCGGAAATAAGTAATAATTATCACTTCAATCAAATTACTCTTTACTTTTCACGAAAGAATCCTGCCGAGAACGGTTAAATAGGATTTTCAGGGTATCCTGTAAAACCTGAATTTTTTATTTTGCAAACTCTAATCATTATAGAATAAACAATGGCGCGCGTAATCGTTTGGACAAAACGGTACATAATATTTCTTTTGACAACTGACACGAAATAAATCTTGGAGCATTATCGTTTGGTATTGAATGTTTAGTAAACAGGCACATATTTTAAATTCCATTCCTATCTTAAAAAGAAATTGTTTGACGGATGTCGTTTCAAAACAATCGCACAAGACCTTTTTAATTGCCATTAAGTCAATCAATGTGTTGGTGGTCGTCTAGAATTTACAGAAGATACAGTAATTGATGGACAAATATCAAAAGGAGAAAATAAGGGGTTTCCCAAGATGGTTGGTTTTTAATTTCCCTTTTGTAACAGTAACATTTACTTAGGGATCATTGTCAATTAGGAAACTCGTTGATGGTTAACAGTCGTTCACGTGATTTAAATAGACGTTCGATATTTACGGATGCACGGACTCGAATAAAAGAAAACGCCGTCCATGCAGTACATGCGTTTAACCCGTCATTAGAAATTTTGTCGAGTTGTCTCTAAAATGTACGTGAAAGGTGCGTTATATGCAACATACGAATAAGCGTGCTGCATTTAGACTCTACATTATAAAATGAATGTTGATACCATTTCATGAGTTTTTATTAAACGTGTTCGCCATTAATGGAGAAAAATTGAAACATTAGTATTGACGATAATGTCAATTTGAATATATTGTAATTTGAATATACGGTATATACAGTATATATATGGCATGTATATTTTAAAAAAATGACTACTCGGTTAAGTTTTACTGCACTGTACTCACATTAAGTTACCGTGTTATCGGTTTATCGTACCGGCCAAAACCATTGCGAATTTCCGTTATCGCCAAATATGGTCACGACATTTAAGCCACCACGCACAAATGAGCTGGTGCACTATTGTACAGTACTGGACAAACTCACCGTTGTCTCCAAATTAGGCAACAGTTTTTTATAGATATCTTACAAGACATGGAATTACTCCTTAGATTCAAAGCAATACTTCATCGGGCCGAATGTGATTCAGCTGTAATTCAAAATCAACCATGGAGTAAAAACTTCAAGCTCTATGCATAAAGATAAGGTCACCAATTAAACGTACGGAAAACTTTTTATATATATTGATATACTTTTATGGGCGTTTACCCTCAACTTGTTAACCAAATTCTAGTCCGGAAACAAACGACTGTCCAAATTTATACGCAAGTACACAGGATGATTGAAATGATCTCTGACACAGATCACTGTGGTAACTTTATTTGCATATGATAGCCAGAAACTGCATGAATGAAAAGTAAGCTTCTCCTTGACACACGGTGTATTGTACTTACTATGCATGTGTACCCCTAGATTTGTCCTGAATGCAAATTTGGGTTTGTCAAATAAAATTTTAAAATTGAACACACCACTCTTAAACAATAAAAATCAATGGGGCGGAGAAGTGTACGACCTCTAGTATGACACACAAAACAAAAACAATCTAAATGCGTCACGAGAATAAAAACACGCGTGTAACAACGTATCAACATGCTTTTCATTTTTCCGTCATACTGTAATGCTTGGTATTTGGTAGAGTTGTCCCTAAAAAGGGTAATCTGGGAAATTTTATTTCGTTGCAAAAAAAAGGGAGCTGCCATATATGATTTATCGCTTCCGATAAGCGACATATACTATCCTCAATCCTTAATCTTTGGTGACACACTGGAGTTTCATGTTACTTTTGCATGTCACTGAAAAAAGACGATCGGCGTGAATGAGTCAGTAATGGAAAAGTAATAACAAAAAGTAACAACACTTGAGAATCTCTTTGCTTAATTTACAGTAATAAATAGTTTAAGGTCTTTGCATTGATTCCATGAAAAAACTCTATACATCTTTCACGTAATTCCTTGAGTCTCGATCGTAAGACTGTATACAGCATGTTGTTTTATTATAACAAAGAAACAAAAACAAACATTTGTTGATTACTATGGTCCTGTTTATCTATTTTCAACGATGTAAACTATCTCAACTTAATTGAGAATAATTAAGATTCCTTTGGTATGAAAATGTGAACAAAATTAGCAAAGATTTTTGTCGATTAACAAAAGGACTACAGTATGCCATGATTAACTGTCATCCCAGCATATTTTTTAATACTAAAAAACAAAAGATTACACTGTGCATCACGGATATTTCCCTTTTGACACAACGGTATATTCCGTTTGGGTCACAAATTTCACCATATACAGTACAATAACACAATACAATACAATGCGTTCTTTTTTAGGATCACGTGACGAATATTATACTGTAGAATACAGTATGTACGTACACTGAAATACAGTATGTATTACTAACACGATGGAGCATAATTTGCATAGTAAAAGAGCATAACTTTCATAAAGGAAAATGCTGTTGTTGGAAAAGAAAATGAAGGAAAAAAAAATATCAAGTATAAGAAAGATATTAAAATATGTATTACTGTATATTATGAATACGTATTTCCATATTAAATGCGAACATGCTTGTTAATTGTGTCAATGAGTGATCTGTCATAGGACGCTAAAGCGTTAACGATCGGTTGAGTTCTTAGGCGGTCGGTGTTTTCAGGATGAGTCGTTGTTAGATTAAGGAAAATTTGATTCGAGCTTTGTTCGTTGAAAATGTCGCCATGTGTGAAGCCGTTATTATAAGGTAATTGGTTTGACGGCGTTTTTAAGAATGTTGTAAGATACTGTCCCTTAAGCTCGCCGTAACCGTAATTAACGTACTTTTTTGCGGAGTTATGATTCGGCCACAATTTGTTATGCAGACTTTTAGCGCATAAAGAAAGTTGCATATACATGTATTTTTCCTCTGGTGAAAATTTTTTCCAGGCAGCTCCCGCTCCAGTAGAAATATCGTTGATTCTTGATCCCCTATGTGGACCGAGCTCTGCTATCTTTCTTGCCTGATAATCTTTTCTAAAGATCAGAAAACTATTCTTGTAACGCTTTGTATTTCTATTGTTTCGAACATTGGGAAATATGAGGTCATAGAGTGAGAGGAAAGTTTTTGACTCAAACTCTGTTCGTTCTTCGCTTGTCAATACGGAATCCAATATTTTATCGAGAAATTCGTCGGTAACATATTGAGTTCCTGGAAGAACCTTACGAGGTTGCGATCTTGGAATGCGTGAATAATGAATGGGCTCTGTGGAGGAGTAAATGGTTGATGAAAAGTCATCAAGTCGATTATCTTGATTCATAATCTCTGACTCGATTCAGAGATACGTCAAAAAAAAAAGAGGTAATTAGGAATCAAATACGTGGACGCCCAAAATTGTTTTTGCAAAGTAATAATAATTAAGGGCGGAAAGCTTGATGGTAGAACTTTTATAGGACTTGTTCAAAGCTTGTGCGACTTGTCTATTTATACAATCCAAATCTAATGTGCAAATACTATTATTGTAACTAGGATCAAGTAAATGATGAGACCTTCTATGATTATTTTCACACCAGTTTCCTTCGTTTGCTATTGATCGCGTTTCAGTACAAACAATCTTACTGTTGTAATTCGGTATAAGAAGCAGGATATAAATTATTGGCGATTAATACCCCTTATATTTAGTGGTAGTTGGTTTATTTTACTGTGTTTCCATTGTAAAATCAAATTTTACCAAATTTCCTATAAGATACGATGAATTCGTTGTTAATTTATGCAAATATACGGATAATTCTTTTTCTGGAGGGTGTCGAAGGCAATGATGTTAGTTGATTACTGTAGTTGCTAACAAAAATAGATCACGAATGAGTCTCAGATTTCAAGCATCGATGATGGATTTATTCAGCTATTGTTCGTTTTGCCCGTTATGCTGTGTACAGTACTGTATATGTGGTGGGGTGCAATTGTTTTATATTTTGCAGTATTAGAAACGTTAGCACAACTCTTCCCAAATAACATTGATCCTGTTTTTCATTTATTGATTAATGAATACTGTGCATATACTGTACATTTGTAAACACTATTTTTTCTTAATGTTTTTCAAAAAATTCTCCATTAAATTTAAGTTTGAGAATTTGCGACCTTTCAATAATTCCTCGGTTATCCCTGTTGTACTGTATAAAATTAGAGTAGGATCACGTTGAAATGCTGTATTCTAATTTTATCCATCGATGCTTAAACTACAGTACTGTATTTGCTGTTATATGTACGTATAAAAATAGCATGTGTGGTTATTGTTGAATACTCTAATCGTGAACTCATCGACAATAAAAAATCAACATTATACAGTAAGTTGCTCTCTTTGATATACAGTACTACGAGGAGTCACGAAGCTCCTCTATATTTTTATTATTTCTCAAAACTTGAAACATGAAATTAGTCTGACAAGTTTTCAAATTTCCAAAATCTTTTTTTTTTTTTTCCTACCAAATTCTTAATTTCTTAATATTGCCGCAAGTGTATTTTCTTTTTTTCTTCTTTCTCATCTTTAGCAAATATTACTGCAGTTGTTTTTTTTTGTTAATTCATAAAAAAAAAATTTTTTTTATATTTTAAATAATATTATAAAAATTAAACGCAAGTGTTTTTATGATTTTAAGTGAACTTAATTTTGTATCATTATTTTGAACAAACAAAATAAAATACATTCCTTTTTATTCAACCTTTTTCAAATAATACCAAGTAAGTTACTGTATATGCCGTAGACATGATTTGTTAAAAACAAATTAATGATCCTGCAATTGGTTTATTTATAACCATAATAAAATTAATCAAGTTTGAAATATTACATTATAGCTATTTAATTTAATTTCTCTGGATTTGTTATTCTAAAAAATCGGGGTTTTTTTAAATAAACATTTGCTGTAATATTTTCAAGTTAAAATCATTAATGTTTAATCAAGTATTTGAATTTATAAAATATGATATTATTTTCTAAAAAATTTGGAATCCTAGAAATTATGATTTAACATACAGTATGTCCATTGGTGTTAACTTCATTTTTTATAATAAATAACATCCTATCTTATTATGATGTTTGTTTTTATCGGTTAAATTTGGAATCCTAGAAATTATGATTTAACATACAGTATGTCCATTGGTGTTAACTTCATTTTTTATAATAAATAACATCCTATCTTATTATGATGTTTGTTTTTATCGGTTATATTTATAATATTGTTATTAGCATATACTGATGATTTATTCGGTTTTCGTATCTAATATAGGCTAATATACCGTATATACTGTATATAACTTGTGGGTCTAACTATGACGATTATTATTAACCTTGTATACAGTATTTCATACTTTATTTGATCGTTTATACAGTATACTGTACTTGTCGCATGAAAATTCATAATAAGAGAAGTAAAAAAATAAAGAAAACAAAGAAAGCAGAAAATTAGAGAAGGTGGCAATTATTTGATGGTAGGTTATTTCTTTAGAAGTTGGTCAACTGTTGCCATTATTGCATAATCGTCTGTTGCCGTAAAAATATCCCTAACAATTTTCCCCTTGTTAGTATGCGTGTACCACAAACATCAGTATTCGGCTGCGGCTAACCTTATAATCACGCGGAACAGAAGTGGTTCAATATGTTTGGTTCCATCCTCCTCAATATATCGTGACAGGAAAACGACTTATTAAACTGTTATTCGCGTAACCGTCGCTATAGTTTATTGATAATTATGAATGAGGCAATTTCGACTTAACAAGTTCCTCTTCATCTTATTGACCTTTATTAAACTCTCTTTATACATCTCATTGATTAGATCGCTAAGAAGGCGATAGAAACAAAATCAATAAAAAGGAAAATTATACTGTAGAACTTTGTAGAATGTTACATAATAATTTTCACTTAATCCGCGTTTATGTCTCATAATATTTATCTAGCAAATGAGCTAATACGAGCTGTTCCTCCTCAAAAGGCCTACTCTCCTTTTTTATGTCCACCCGTCTTGACATTCCGAAGTCAATCAAGTATACATCACCATTCTCGTTAATCAAGATGTTTCCTTCATGAATATCATTATGGAGGATGCCATGCTTGTGAATCGCTTTCAATCCTTCTATAGCCTTTGACCTTTGTTGCTTCGTTATTTTATGCTCGCTCAACGTAGTACCAACAATGGTCAAGCCAATAATAAAGCATAAACCTCCTTCATAATATCCATAACAGACCAACTTTGGAATGTACTTTCCTTGAATATCAGCAAGTTCTTTATAAATGCATATTTCTTTTTGCATCTCTTCCAGGTCGTACGATGAAACCTTATACATGTCTGCAGTTTTCAATACAATAATTTCATTACGAAATTTGCATAGGAATATTCTAATACCTTGTCTCATACTTAGTACGCGCCTAAACTCGAAATTATGTTGGTTTACCAAGACGCCATAAATTTCTGGATGAGAGGATTCGGGATTTTGCCTTGCTTGACGAGTGATATAAGCATATGTTTTGAGTACTGAAGGCGATTTTGATTGTAGCGGAAGTGTTTTTGAAATCCAAAGCTCCGTATGCTCTCGACGTAGAAACCAGTGATCATCGTAAGTAGTAAGAACACAATATCTGAGTCCGTTTCTTCTCATATAATTGTAGATTGGTTGAATCACTGTCTTCGCCTTTTCACTAGCCTGATAAAACTCGGAAAAGGTCTGTTCTTTAATATCTTCTAAAACATGCTTTCCCTTGACTTTAAAAACCAAGCTCAATACTTTCGCAAGATGACACTTAAAATCTGGTTCATCTGAATTGGTTGACATCTTTGAATATACGCAGTCTGATCCCACAAGTACACACAATACCCTAAAAATATTTTCTATAATATCACAACGAACATCCTCTTCGCCGACCACATTATTAAATTTATCATTAAATGTTGACTTTTGGAATTTTAGTTGTGCATCGTCGAAGCGGAACTTGTTTACTTCCTTAAAAAAGTCATCCCAAAGAAGTACTCTTGTTGGTGGGTCACCGTCAACTTTGGTGGTGTGATTTGACACATCAAAGTTCGGAGAATATGTTATAGGCGATGGAATACATGACAGCACTTCTTCTAGACTGACTGCAAACAAAAACGTGTTAAGTATATATTACAAAGAAAAATTACATATCGTACTAGACACTTACGTGGTAAATTTATGACAACATGAATGTGTTTTTCAGGTGGTTTTTCGATCCAGCGGTCTCCTATGTTATTTCCTGCAATGAGTTCATATTGTTGATCTGATCGTCACAATCGATAGGAATTTCCACTTTCCATAGTTTGAGTTCGTTAGCCTCTACACCACAAAAAGCTTTATGTTTTATAGCTTTGATGGCTTTTTGGAGCTCACTAATAGGTTCGTCCCTACTAATAGTAGCAAAAAATGCGTTCTTGGAGGCGGGTACTTTTCCTTTAACGAGGCAGAAAAGAGTGATCTCGTCCATGACACTTTTGTTTTCTACTGTATTTATATTGTCGGATGAAGATCAGACAGTACAGTATTTTTATGGGGAAGTTGTGACGTCGAGCGTGACGCGATATCACGTAATAATCTAGAAGTAGATTACGTAAGAAATAAAAAATTAGCACAAGGGAGACTGTTGTATAGAGTTTTTTTTTTTTGAGACTTGGTCGATTCTCATTTTACGTATTTAGCCATATTTTGGCTATTTTACGTTCACGAAACTTTTGTGCAGCGACGTGTTTTTGTCCTTCATTGTAGGTTAATTAGATCAAAGACGTGCATAATAACATGGTTTGTTATCGTGGAGTACTGAATCAGGGCTGTTAAGGAATTGGTCGAGAGATCCATACAAACAATAAAATATTTTCCTACTACTAGTTACTTGTTTTTGTTTTTTTTCTAAAACAAAAACAATATATAACAATATATACAGCATATATATATATTAAAACTAAAATAATTATTAGTTTAATTTTATTGTTTATAATTGATTACTTATTATTACAATTTTATAATTATACTGTACTTGACTAATATACCGTATGTAACAAACCTTTTTGAAATTTTATTTATATGACATAAATGTAAATAACTTTTTCAAAACAAAAGCAATTTACATAAAATTTTAAATATGTAAACAATATATCTTAACAAATATATTGTTGACATCTCTCTCAATGAGTTTGTTGCTTCTTTTGAGCACTTCTCACATAACGTCAAATAAGTGTTTAGCTTTTCTACTTGAAATGTGGAAGTTGTTTAACCAAGTTCTACTAACATTTTCCTTCTCTTTCTATTGTTCACTTCTCA